TACCGAGGCGATGTTCGGGTGCCTCACTGGGGCGGACGCCAACGCATGCGCTGGAACGCTGTATGTCCCGTGCATAGCTCTGCCCCGCACCGCTCTTCAGTAGCAGGTCAAGACAGCGCGTTGTTCAGATGCGCTGTCGGTCTGTGAGTGACCCAAACGCGAGTTTTCATCGCGTGAAGATGGCGGTGGAGTTTTATGTTCCGCTGTCTTGCCGCCTTTTTGACAGTTGTCAACGGTCGTGTTGATGGTTGTCAGGTGTCAGTTGTCTTGTCAGTTGTCAACAGTTGGCAGGTGTCTTGTCAGTCGTCAACAGTCGTCAGCCGTCACAAACGCCTCTCCCTTCCGCGCGGCCTTTTTATTTGCCTACGGTTTGCGTAAACAAACATTTTTAGATGTTTATTCTTCGGTAAATGGCTGGGCTTAGTCGTGCTCGGCCTTGTTACATGTCGCGCTCTCCCGCTGCCTTGACTCGAACGTGGGAGGTTTAAAGCCTGATAATGGGGCTATTACTGCACCGTTTTTCCCACGTGTGGCTGACTAGGCGGCAATTAGTCCCCGAACAGTATTTGTTGCTAAACACGACCTATATCTACTGCAGGTTGTACGTAACGCCAATCCTGCCCCAAAGCATCGGCTACTTTGCCAGTTGCAATCCATTCATTAGGGGCCGTGGGCTGACGGTTTTTCGGCTTGATGGCTTCGATGAAACCTGGAGGTAACCGGGAGGCTGCGGTGTGCCCCAGCTGTAACTGCCCGAGAGATGACAGGGTGCCTCGCGTTGGGGAAACCCACGCTGACCCCCATCACCGTGACGTGGCAGTGCTGGTGTTCAGGGGCTCTTACGTACCAAAATGGCGTGTCCGCCGAGATTCTTTTTTCGATTTAGAATCACGTGATGTCATAATCAACTACCACAACAAAGTTGCAGTGGAGGATGGTAGTTGAAGGCTCTTACCTATCGTACTCGCTGTTTTGCAGGTTGTTTATTGAAATGAAGTGCGGCACATTAAGTAGAATTTATAGTTAGCGACGCTACCATTATGATGTGTTTTCTTAGCAGTTTAATTAATGCCTTGCGTCGTAATTTATGCTGAATTTTGCGAACCACGGAGATAGCCAATCCCTTCTGTCTCTCATGGTTGGCAACCGGCCCAACTGTAGCGCTTTTTTGTGGCGCGGTCAGCAAAGTCAGCTGGAGCTGATGACCGTGTCTCCTGATAGCGCCAAGATGCGACTCGAAATCAACAAACACGGATGATAATGATCCGCTCAACCAGGGGTGATGGGAACTAGAAGCACAGTACCATCAAAGGTGGCCAATCCGTTTGAGAAAAAAAAAACATTAGTTCTATGTGTCACCCTATGATTGTGTTCAACTGAAGTGAAAATGGAAGTCCATGCTCTTTGTCGCAAGGTCACTGATCTAGCATCTTTGTACTTTTTCCCTCGCCTAGGTTTAATAAGTCATCACTAACCGCGATGTCTGATTGTTAGCGAGCATGTATGGGACATCACAATTTATGCACTCGCTTCCTGTATGGAGTAACGTCTACGGCTGTACCAACGCACTGATGGTTGTATCCTCACAACCTCGCAACTCGGTCACAAAGCGTTTCAAGCTGCGACCCCGGTCAGTTAGCTTATGCAACCGTACCTTAGAGTGCGCCGTCGTCAGTGAAAGAAAATGTTCTGCTTTATATGCAGCCTCACCTCCGCCTCTGCTGGGCCGTGGAGCGCAGCCAATGAGAAGGCCAAGAAGGTCGTGACCCGCCCCTGACCTATGAGGTTATACAAGGTAGTGGAAGATTCTCAGGAATTAGGGCCAAATTCTCTGGATTTGGAAGAAAATTTGAAATTCCCCATGAGGAGATTCTTTACTACGTGCCTAGTCGAGACTAGTGTTGGACGTATCTGTGCTGGGCCGGTCTGTGTTGGACGGATCTGTGTTGGTTGGGTCTATGTTGAACGGGTCCGCGTGGGACGGATCTGTGCTGGTTGGGTCTGTATTGGGACGGTGTGTTGAACGGGCCTGTGTTGAGCGAGTCTGTGTTGAACGGGTTTGTGTTGGCCGGGTCTGTGTGGGGCGGCCCTGTGTTGAGCAGATCTGTGTCATCCGGATCTGTGTTGGCCGGATCTGTGTTGGCCGGATCTGTGTTGAGCGCGTCTGTGTTGGCCGGGTCTGTGTTAGCTGGGTCTGTGTTGGGCGGGTCTGCGTTGAGCGGATCTGTGTTATCCGGATCTGTGTTGGCCGGATCTGTGTTGGCCGGGTCTGTGTTGGGCGGTCTGTGATGGGCTGGTCTGTGTTGACGGGTCTGTCCTGGGCGGGTCTGCTTGGGCGCGGTCCCAGCGCCGGTGGCACTGTCCGCTCACGGCGTCGTTCCGTTTGCGGAGTCGTGCACAACCCCGCCAACGGGCCGAGCTCATCTGCATGGCGGGACAAGGCCGGCCGGTTGTCGGCGGCTGACGAGGGAGGCCGGTGTGGTGCCGCAACTAAAGAGAGCTCGCGATCTGGGCCTTCGCGGCGGGGAGCCGGGCTCGTCCCAGGGGTGCAGGGAGACGGCGCTCGCCGCCGCGATCTCTGCAGAGAGGTGGAGGGCTTGTCTCCGGTGCTCATCCCGGCAGTGTACCCACTGTGACTTGTGCGGAGAGGTGGAGGGCTTGTCTCCGGTGCTCATCCCGGCAGTGTACCCACTGTGACTTGTGCGGAGAGGTGGAGGGCTTGTCTCCGGTGCTCATCCCGGCAGTGTACCCACTGTGACTTGTGCGGAGAGGTGGAGGGCTTGTCTCCGGTGCTCATCCCGACAGTGTACCCACTGTGACTTGTGCGGAGAGGTGGAGGGCTTGTCTCCGGTGCTCATCCCGGCAGTGTACCCACTGTGACTTGTGCGGAGAGGTGGAGGGCTTGTCTCCGGTGCTCATCCCGACAGTGTACCCACTGTGACTTGTGCGGAGAGGTGGAGGGCTTGTCTCCGGTGCTCATCCCGGCAGTGTACCCACTGTGACTTGTGCGAAGAGGTGGAGGTTTGTCTCTGATGTTCATCCCGACAGTGTACCCACTGTGACTTACGCGGAGAGGTCGAGGGTTTGTCTCTGATATTCATCCCGACAGTGTACCTACCGTGATTCATGCGGAGAGGTGGAGGGCTTGTCTCTGATGTTCATCCCGACAGTGTACCCACTGTGACTTATGCGGGAAGGAAGGGGGCTCGTCTGCGACGCTTCGTCGTGAAGGCTCCGCAGGTGGTGTGGTTTGTCGCGATGGGGGTGTCTTCCGCGCGTTTTAGTGGCGCAGCTCTGGGACCGGAGTCTGAGGTTAGCGGAGGCCGTTGTGCTGATCCCGACCCCGCGCCCCACCAAGCCGCCAAGGCCGTCGCGTGGCCGCGTGGTAACCGTTCGCCTGTGTTGTCGCTTTACCTCGACGCGGGGCGACGGCGCGGGCCTCTCGCGTTTGACGGGAGGTGTGTGCTCACACCCGGGGGCCGACCAGACAGCGCGAAAACGGACGTCAGATGAAGGGAGTGCCCGGCCAGAACGTCGGGTGTTCACACTCCCTAGTTTGCCCGTTTTTTGGGTGGGTGGGGGAGGGGTTATTTGCTGTGATATGCCATAGTGCTGCCGTCTGTCCAGAACCGATTTGCTCTGTGTTCATGCGTCTCGCCCTCGTACTTGGGGCTGCTGGGTCTGCCCCGGAATGTTACCCGTGTTTAGCATTAAAGCGTACGGTGAGAACAAGCTTCCTACGAGCCCTGGATGCCGTGCGAGTGTTGGCGCGACATGCATTGGTTCCAGGCCAGCAAGGGTTGCGTCCTGTATCAGCCGTATCGGCTCATACTATCCAGCAACTGTTCCGGGAAGCCTGCACTCCTGTCGGGGTAAAATGATTTTGCGACGGCCATCTGCCGTGACCCAGATCTCTAGACATGCTTCCATGGCGTCCACTGACCCCGGTGCTCTCGCCGTCCACGTCTACCAGTGACGTCATGGATGCGACGTGCTGCGGGTGAAGCATCACGCCGCGTCCAGCATACGTATGTCTTCACTTGTCTGGTCGGGGCCGCGATAGAGACGTGGCGTTACGAGCAGCTGCGTATCAGACAGCCGGGAGAGTCAGGGGTTCACAAATCGGCTCAGATCTGACAGACGTGACGGATTTTGTTACTGAGTCCTGGCTGTGCTGCTTTGATATACATTTCCATCGGTAAGCTGGTGCGATCCCGAGCCATGTGTGTGCCATGAGGGGAAGATGATTGGTTTGTAGTACGGTTTCGCCGAAAAAAAGCGGTTGCCGGCTATCGGTCGTAGATATCTTGTGCGGTACCAGTCTTGACAGAAACAGCGAAGTCGAGTCGGGGACACCATGCAGGCGTGGGTTTGTGGTACGCTGCAGCATAGGCACGGAAACTGCGCGCTTTGGGTTTGGTCGTGGAACCAACTCGACAGTATCAGAAAATCTGATCCCTCCAGACTTGAAAGTCCGATACCAGGCTTGGCTCACGAGTTTCTTGCATATGAAATCCGTGTTGTGTTTTGTATAGCTCTGCTGATGAGGGAAATTTCAGGGCTGCATTGCATTTCGAGCCCTTCAACCATTGCTGTTGCTGTTGCTGTCCCCATTGCTGTCTCCGACCGCTACGGTCCTTGCGTTTGTGTACTGCGTCTGTGCACCCTGCAACTACCACAATTATCGGGTATTGAGTTCGAGTATCACTCAAATGCATGTTCTATCTATTTTCTGTTTTTTTGGTTCTCGCGACGACATTCCAGGAGATTTTGAAAGCTCTTAATCTATCCACTCATAGACGTTGACGAAGCTAAAGAAAGTATCTAAAAACTTCCTGCCTGTACTAGTTGACAATGAAGATTTCAACGTGGTAACGATTGACCGTAATCAGGGGCGTCCGATCTTGAAGAAGTCTGACCATTGTTCTCTGAGGCCGGAATCTGAGATCTGAGGTTTGGGCTTTGGGCTTTGCTTCCTAACTTCTCTTTCCGATTCACAGGTGTCGCTGCGATCGACTGAACCGCCTTCCGCCATTCAGAACGCCATGGCTACGAAGGACAAGAAGCCTTTCACCTATCTTCCAGCGGGGGGCATTGACCTTTCGGAAATACGCAGTCCCAACATGCAGAAGCGCATTATGAGCAACGCACGCAGCGACGGCATCCAAGGTCAGGGTCAAGGTCAGGGCGGCGCGGCGCAGCCCGTGTCGCCGTCTGCGATGCCGCCTGCCGCGCAGGCGCAGTGCCTGCCGAAGGCGCAGATCCAGGTGCTGCCGCAGGCGCCCACCGAGGCGCCGAGACCGCCTGCGCCTGCCGCGTCCACCTGGGCGCAGAACCTGGCGCGTCAGCGCAGCGCCGGCTCGCCGCTTGCCGAGCAGGCGGCCCCGCCGTTCCAGCGCTTCGCGAAGCAGGAGGCGCCGGCTGCGCAGCACTTCGCGAAGCAGGAGGCGCCGGTCACGCAGCGCTTCGCGAAGCAGGAGGCACCGGCCGCGCAGCACTTCGCGAAGCAGGAGGCTCCGGCCACGCAGCGCTTCGTGAAGCAGGAGGCACCAGTCACGCAACAATTTCCGAAGCAGGACGCGCCGGCCATGCAGCGCTTCGCGAAGCAGCCCGCGCCGCCGCCGACGCAGCCGCGTCCGGTTGCGCAGGCGATGCCACTGTCGCAGCGGTTTGCGGAAAAGGTGGCGCCACCGTCGACGCAGCGCGTCTCCCCGCCGCGTTCGGCACCGCCCGCGGCGGCCTCGGCCAGCATAGCGGCCCATCCGCCCTGGCGGGTCACGCGCAAACAGTCGGCTCCGGCTCCGGCGCAGAAGCCCACGCGGGAGCCGGATCCAGCCCGCGAGCCGGCTCGGGGCGAGCTTTACATCCCGCCCGTGTCGAGCCCGCAGCCGGTGGCGGAGGCTCTGGCTTCGCCGCCGGTGCACCTGCGCAACACTCCGCCCTCCTGGCGACCCAGAGCCGAAGCCGCAGAGCCGGCGCCGGCGCGCACGGCGCCCTGGCGCCAGGGAAAGCCGGCGCAGCAGCGGCCTGCCTTCCAGTCGGCGACGCTGCCGGCGCGTGGCCGGCGCGAGCATGTCATGTCGGTTCGGCAGGAGGGGGTGCCACCACCGCCCCCGCCGCCGCCGCCGCCGGCGCCGGCACCGCAGCACCAGCAGATGCCACAGTGGAAGCAGCAGCAGCAGCAGATACAGCTACAGCGACAACAGCAGCAGCAGCAGCAGCAGCAGCAGCAGCAGCAGCAGCAAGTCCGGCCCCAGCGGCAGCATAGTCTCGGCTCCCAGGTGAGAGGTGTCCTGGTTTCTCAGGATGCGCTGAGAGTCACATTGTGTTGCGCTGGCCCTTTCCACTGCGATTCGTTGTTTTCTGGGGAATTTTCCTGTTCCGTTAATCTCCACTGTAATGGGCGTCATTGAATATGACAGCGTGGGCTGGAGGAACGTAGTTTATTTGAAACAACGTTATGCTGTTCATCCATGCTTCTTAACATAGCGTTAAGCATTCGTGATGCGATTTGAAACTTTAGTAGGTGAGATATAATTTCTTAGAATGAAGCATAAAGATGCTTTAGCTGTTTTTTGGTTACTACTTGTTCAATTCGGATATTCCGAACCTTGGCTGGCTGTGCGTCGCTCGGGGCAGTCACAAGCCTCCCTCCGCGCCCCAATCGCGAGCGCTTCCCGCTTGGCTGGCGTTGGCCCGAGGCTGAGCTTCTTCTGTTCGCCGACAGAGGACTATACCGGTGCAGCTGGTGACTGGACCGGACGGGCAGCCTCAGGTCAGCATTGGCGGCCGGCTCATCCCCGTCACAGCCGAGGGCGTCCAGCTGCCCGTAGGCCTCTTCATGCCCGAGCGGGAACAGGGCAGGTACGCACACTGCGACGTCACTGGGGTCATGACGTCACTGGGGTCATGACGTCACTGGGGTCATGACGTCACTGGGACCAGTGGGAAGTGCACTGATCGCGAGCGAAAAGGTGGTGATGGCTTGGTGAATAAGAGGAAGTTTGGCTGGTATATGTTGCGTTCTGCCGCTGTAACATCGCCGCGCAGGTCTGGTATTTGTTTGGAGGTGTTGTTGGATACTTTTGAAGAAGTTTCAAGCAGTGAGGGAGCTGCGAATCGAATGACATGCTAAATTGACGGTGTTCGCATCAAGCTTCAATTTGGCGCGAGCTAAGTTTCGTGGAGAGGACATAACTGGCGGTAACTATTAGCGGATAAATTTCGAGGAAAATCCGCATATTTGGAGGGAAACCTGGTGAAGAGCTCTGTTTGGCATTTTTTGTAATGGCTGAGCAATAGGGCTTCCGGCATTAATATTGACTTCGGAACGGCATGTCAAGAACAGGTGAGTACCCGGTATTGCATCCAGTATTTCTAACCGTAGGTCATGCTGTGTATTATAGTTAGCCCTGAATGCTGGCCTCATATGGTTTCAGCTTGCGCACCAACTCAAGTGAGCCAACGCAGTCGAAATCTTTCAGAGTGATCCAGCAAGTCACCCAGCGGCAGAACAGCCAGCCTTCGCCTGGCGGTGAGTACAGAAACTATTTAGTTTGCCGGGCATCCGCAGGATGGCAGGCTGCATGGGCTTTTATCTGTTTTTTAGCTTAGGAGGGGGAGAGGAGGTGATGCTTGAGCGGTTAGCGCCAGAGGCCTCGGCACGGGTCAAAAGGCAGGGGTGCATTGATGTTCTGTGATACCTTTTTTCGTGTGTCACCGCAGGTATAAAGCTAAATTTGCAAAAGACGAGGAGCTGGACATGTGCCACCAACACCACGAAATTGGTTCGCTTTGCAGCCAGAAGCGTTACTGTTTACGGGCACTGGCCTTCCACATAAAGAAATAGAATTACCATCGCTTGGCTGCGTGACCACAGTTGTGAGGAGCTGATGACTGGCACGCGGCCCACGACTCAATCCAGCCTAGTGTTTCATATCAGCCGAAGCTATCAAAAATTGCAGCCTAGATGAGCTCATGGTTTCTGCGTCTTTCCTCACCCCTTGATTCACCAACTATGCCTAGTTTTCTAAACTTATGATGCCGTAAAATTAGGAGCGGAAGGTCTTCTTTCTCACCTATAGAAACTTAAGCCGATGTGATTAATATGATAATTTGCGATCTCCAGGGGCTCAATTTATACCCAGGTGCTCCGGGAATAGACAGGTTGGATTGTTTACTGGCAAGTGCAGGGTCTCCGTGATGAGGGCGGAGGAGGGGGAGGGAGGGGCGCTGGAGCAGTTTTGGATTGAAGCAGGCCACGTGACTGCCAGGGCCGCAAGTGTGCGATTGACTGATAGGGGTGGGACTAGCATTCGACCTTGGAAAAGGCCGAATTCTCAACTTATAACTGGTTTCTTACATGACTTTATAGTTTTCTTCCTTTCTTCTTCCCAGTTTGTGGAAAATTCACTCCTCCATTTCCGCCACTGCCAACTGGAAACAAACGTGACAATTGTTACAATCCTCCACGCTGCTATTGAGCCCAACGCGAAATAGTAAAACCACCAACCAGAGGTATAAAATGTAAAAGGAACACTTCCTTGGTTTTGCAATATTTAGCCTATAGCTGACGACGCTACTGCCAGCAAAAGCCAGTTGGACCGATCAACTGTCAGCTTCTCTGACGTCATAGTGTATTAATTAAAGCGCAACTTAAGTCGCATTTCAGCTTGTCGTTGCTCGGTGCCATGGCCTTTATTAGCTCGCTGGTTTGACGTCGCTTAAGTCAGATTATCAAGATCCGAAGATGAGGCGTAGCATATGCATGGTAGTAAGGGCCAGACAGCATGCGAGGACTGTGATGAACAGCTGATCTGGCTGATCTCCTCGTGAAGAGATTTCTGTGCAGTACTGAACCAACCGAGCGATCGGACTTAGGTACCCTCGTGATAAAACGGCATCCACGTTAAGCTGGACGTGATCGGTAACGGAGGGCGAACGTCCTCTGATCGCTGCAATGCTGCTTTGCTGTGACATCTTTCATCCATGAGATGTCTATTGTTAAGGTACTTTTTCGTGAAACTTAAATTTCCCCCGTCAGGCGGGGTTGCAACCCAGACAAAAACGCTACTCTGCCCATCCCAAGATCAGCAGCTCGACCCATTCTGGGGGGCCTGAGCCGTTTCGCTTGATTGGAATTGAAACATGTCTGGCTGTGAAGTCTGAGCGATAAAACTACAAAAAGTTTCCTTAAATCTCGGTAGACGCTTAAGGTTTCACATCTCTTGTTATTAAGCTTGAAAATCCGGGAGTGTGAATCAAAAATCTGAGCCATTGGAACATGGATATGACAGAGTTAATTTCCAAAGGAATTTCATTAAAACAATGTTGGAAAAAAGCGCTCGCAATGCCTTCGGGCCAACGCAAGTGATACTACCCTCGCAACAAGTCACCATTACCCATCCATTCATTGCAAACAATCACTGGTGACCTCTCTGTGATTTCCTTCGCGCGGCGATCTCGACCAATAAATCGGGATCATCTCGATCTCGATCCAAAAACGTCGATCGATCCAGCCCACCCACACCTCTGCCTGCCAGTGGTCTGGCCATGCATCGACGCTGTCAGACCGGATAATCAGAGGCGCGACCGCGACCCCATACAGCCGAGCGACGACCCCGGCCCCCGCCGCCGCCGCCGCCGCCGCCGCCGTCGCCGCCGCCGCCGGCCAAAACACACACGCGGCGCTGGGGGTCAGGTCAACCGACGGACCCGCCGGCGACGGCGCGGCGGGGGGGGGGGGAAGGGATTGTCGCGGGGGGGGGCGGAAGAAGCGCGTGAAGGCGGTGTGATGGCCTGGTTCTGAATTTTCAGAGAGAGAGAGAGAGAGAGAGAGAGAGAGAGAGAGAGAGAGAGAGAGAGAAAGAGAGAAAGAGAGAGAAGAGAGAGAGAGAGAGAGAGAGAGAGAGAGAGAGAGAGAGAGAGAGAGAGAGAGAGAGAGAGAGAGAGAGAGAGAGAGAGAGAGAGAGAGAGAGAGAGAGAGAGAGAGAGAGAGATAGAGAGAGAGAGAGAGAGAGAGAGAGAGAGAGAGAGAGAGAGAGAGAGAGTTGACGCGGTATGGTAGCGTTTGTGTGCGTCTAGAGTAATGTCCGCGGGATGTTACACACTTGTGTAGTCTTTTGAATGCGGTCGGAACTGCTCGCTGAAAGCAAATTCGAGCTACGTCGTCTTCTATCGATTTCCCCACCACCACCCCACCACTGTAAGCAAAGACAGCTAGGGGTGTTCAGCGGCCGCGAGCGTCTTATTCAGACTGGCTGACCAAATGATGGCCTTTTCACGCGCCTCGCATTTGTTCTGTGGCAGGTACCTCTGTTTAGCGACCAGGTTACGCTGGATGGTAGAATTAGTGTCCGAAATGTGACACATTTTTTCATGTAACTTAAATGCATCCGTCAGGGCTAAGTACTGCCGCACGACGCAGCCATGCGTTACTACCCACCTGCTTCCTGGTGAGTCACATATGTCAGCCATTCACTGTATTCCGAAACGCATGCGTCGCATTTGGAACTTTGGTACGGTATGAAAGCTGAATGGGTTATATCGTTGCTGATTCTTGGCGTAGTAATATATGGGTAGTAATAGTAGTGCTCCAATCGTAATCGTGGATAAGTCCACATTACCATGAAATTTGGCGGGTACGTGCAAATTTGTGTAACTTAACTCCTGAAGCTTATTTTTTCATTCCTTTCGTTTAACGCCTCTCATTTATACTCTTCCGTTCAATACTTTAGATAACACTGCTGGTCAACATCGCCACTAAACTACTTAGTCCCACTCTGTAAACAGAATGCAGGCTCCGAAACGTTAACACCAAACAAACGTTGTCCCTTAGTACATAACAGTTACCCAATGTTCATCTGCATTCGCTACCTGCGTGTGTATCACAACAAGCGTACTCATGCCCGATGACTGAAAATTTCGCCGAAATCTGGCCGCTGACAGGTGACAGAGGGTAGTTTTGGGTGGACCGCACCCGGTTTCGCTTTCCAACACGTTCCTCGCATGTGTAGATACCCCGCTTTGCGGCCCATTGCAGTGAATGGGCAAACCAACGCGTCACTACGTCTTGACCAGTATCACTTCAGTGAGAAATCTCGTGCGTATGGCGATATTGACTTTGGTGAGAACTTGACATGAACTCATGAACAGATTGCGTGCAAACAAAGCGCGTGCGTATCTCTCGGTACAGGGCATACGCTTGGAAGTGTAGGTATTTCCTCGCTCCCCATGACGGCTGCCGGAGCCTAAGATGCGTGACACGTGACGTCAGGCCTGACGTCACGTCTGATCGTGAGATGTGTGACGTCATACCTGGCGGTCGTGAATGCCTGACGTCATACCTGGCTTCTGTAGGTGCCGCGACTTCGAGCAAGGCCCTGTCTGAGACTGGCAAAGGCTAGATGCCAAGCCCTGGACGATGCTGTAATAGCGGCGATATTCGGTCTTCTCACTTCTCGTTTGGCGTCAATGTTCGAGGGCCGTGCGAAACATGCTGGTAGTTTGGGCTCTGGTGACCTCTTGGGCCGCGGCGGAGAGCGGGTTCATTGACCCCTCAGGGACCGTCTGAGCGTCCGAGGTCAGCACAAGATGGATGCCGCGCTCAGGTTCGCATAGACTGCCTCGGGCGATGACAGGGCCGTTTGTTTTCGGAAGAGGAGCGCTGTTCTGTGATTTGGAAGGCAGTCGCTGCTCTGTAATAGGAGACATGCTAATTGCGGCCAGACTTAGAAGGCATGTCAGAACAAGGTGAAACGGGTCTTGTTTTTGTAGAAAATAGATGACTCGTTTTGTTTTAATTGGTATATTTCGTGGAGGACGAGTGTTGTTTTGTATTTTCCGTTCCTTGCCAGAGGCCACTGAGGCGAAGTTTGCTCAGACTTACTCTGTTATCATGCGTAGGATTGATACTAAATACCCGGTGTTTGTCTTTTTACGTCTGCGTTCCAGGCCGGACGAGCTATCGTTCAAAAGCTTAACAGATTTTCGTTAACATCAGTTTCAAACAGTCCGTCAAAATTTGAATCTCTTGGTCATCCAGATGTGACTCCAGGAGCGTTTTTTTTTTTAGAGACGCTTCAGGTTAAACCCCGCGAGCTGTTTAAGGTGAACGCTTCGTCCCCGGTGCTTTGACTGCACCCTGGTGATGTTGGGGCCAGGTGAGATTCACACCTCTCTAAGGCGTCAAGGCTGGTCACATTTAGGTGACAGGTGAGGTCATGGAAACCGGGAGCGATAACGGAAAGTGTGAATATTTAGCCACATGTATGAGCTATGCGAAACGAGCTCTGTGATCGGGGCAGGCACTCATTTTTCACACCCATTAAACACCTTCGTTATGGCTTTCTTTCCTGTGACCCGTGTCAGCATGAGCAGTGACGATGTTATTTTTCGAGGTATGGGACGCCAAATGGCTCCTCCTTTCGGAGCTAATCAAAATTTAACGAATTTTTAGTGGGTTGAACGCCCGCAGACGTACGGTACGCGTCTTGTTTGACGACGTGATGCCCATTTGTAGCATTGCAGTTTGCAACAGTTCTTTAGGCGCTATTGCTACTCACATTTTTCGATCGTGGCACAACGAGAATGGCCGTTGGAAGTCAAAGATCGGCAGTGCCATCATTGTCTGGCAGCCATCCGGCATCAGTCGCGCGATTCGTTCATTAGTACTAAGCTCAAGCTTTTTGCAGGCGTATTTCGCCTCAACGCGAACGGACGTTTCTTGGCACTCGTGCTGTGGAGACCAGTGTGGTTTGTCACCAGGCCAGGTCCATTTAGGCATGTCGGAACGGGTGGACACCTCCATTTTGCCGTGTCAGTAGCGGAGGTCAGCAGGGGCGGATCCAGGGGCATTTGGATCCAGGGACGGATGCAGGACACCATCCGCATCGCCCATCAAGTAACTAAAGTCAGCTCAAAATGTTGTCACGGTCACATTTTACCAAGTAAAACGGAGCGAGCCCCCTTCGACCGTCCCTGAACACGTCCGTGGCACACACACACCTTTTTGCCACCTGTTCAGTGCCTCACCTGTGCCAGCTCTTTCGATCTCGGAATCTGCGCGAACAGAAGCGTATTTCGGTCCACTCGGCCATTATTAGTGGCGGGCATCGTCGCCTTGCACAACATAAAGCCTCCGTTCTGCTCGCAATCGAGCGAAACTCACCCGGTAGTGAAATCGGGCAGGTAGTGACTGTAGCTCTACCACCAAACGCTCCGGCAGACGTTTGGAAGCTTCGCAGACCTGTAGTCTTAGAAGAGAGCGATAGTTTTTATTGTTATTGGCGCAGGCTTTTAGCTTCTGGTGGGTCCTCACTGCTGCTTGGCAATAGCCCCCCGGCTGTCAGAAGTCTATGATTATCGGTCACGGATATGTCAATGGCAACGAGCTGATAAATTGATGGTGGAAGGGGGGGGGGGGGGCGGGGGGGAGAGAACCCTGCCTTTTAACGCTGACGCCTATGTTGACCTATGATCTCGCTGGCGGCCACATTAGATCTGTTCCCGTCGCTCGGCGGTTGCATGGGGAGGTCAGGGGACAATTTGTTTGGGGCACCATTCCAAAGTGCGACTTTGTTTGAACTCATTTGACCCGAAGGTCATGACCTAGAAACCTCAATTTTTGACACAAATGATTCCACATTTAGGCTACTCCACCTCATGCATTTAGCGTCTCTGGCTCCCTGACTTTTTATATCAGTTTGCAAATTGATCCCCCCCCCCCCACCTCACCCGAGCGGAGGGTGTTTACCGGCTACCCGGGCACGTGTTTAGTTACGTGCAGATAGCTGATACCTCCTTCAAAAATAATTTCCGTGGCAGCAGATTTTACGCAGATTCAGCGCTCCTCCCACCTCCGTTAAACCAATCGTATCTTGTTTTGGAGGAGCGGCGGGAACAGATCCACCGACTTCTGATCTTTGGCCTCCGACGCCGACGGGTGTGTTGACCTCTGACCCGTGTTCCAGAGCGACCTTGGAGTCGACCCCGCGAGATACCGACCGACTCGAGCGGCGACCCGATCCCCTCGATGCGCAGTGTCCAGCTCTCGGATGACGACCGTCGCCTCATGACCGCCTTCAGAGACCAAGGTGGGTGGAGCGGGCGGGATGGGCCATCGCCGTGGGATGGTCTAGGGGATGGTACTCTGGTACTGTACCCCGCTGTACTCTGGATGGTACTCTCCCCAAATCGTCGTAGTCAGAGTGACCGGCTTGGTCGGTACGAAGCGTTTTGATTTTCACTTGCGCTTTAGCCCGGCATATTGGCTGGGTAAGGTCGACTGGAGGAAATTGAGGTGCACCTGAAACGCCGGAATCTAAAAATAATCTGGGAGTACCATTATGCATGGGCATGTTGAGAGCAGAAGTCCGGTCCCTGGATGCAAAATCCAACATGCACACAATTTACACGGTTTATATTCGGAACGCAGTTGTATTGTATCTCTCGCACAATCTGTCGCGGAAATGCGCGTCTTACGCGAAACCAGCTACACTTTAGCCCAGAAACATGTTTCCGCCAACCTCCTATCTTTGAACACAAGAGTAAAGTCCCAGAATCGGGTCACTTCAGCTCGCTCTCACCTGGAAGAACCGCATTCCGGGACATCTGTACCTGAACGGCACACTCCGTCGCACGCGCGTACCCACCTGCGACGGCTTATGCGGCGCGGCGCCTCTGTAGTCGGCCGCAGCGCGACGCCGCCGCAGTCGCCTGCCCGCTAACGAGGCCCGGAGGCGACCCGCGCGACCACGTGACGGGCATACCAGCCGTTGGCGGCGAGATGACAAGGGTGCCATGGGCCCGGCAAGAATGCCTTCAACGTGAGGCACGTGCACGGCACGTGTGTGGCGGCCAGGGCTGGTGGCCGCCGGGGTAGGTGGTCACGTGTTTTCTTGGCGGCTGCCGGGGACAGGTGTGGCGGTGCGTTGCTTTGCGGCGGGTTTTAGCGCCGTGTTACAAAGAAAGCACTCGCGAACAGGCGAGCTGTCTGAAGATTGTCCGTGAGCTGCAGCTGTGTGCGGCGGTGGTGTGAGGCTCCGCCGGAATTCGTGGCGCGTTTATGCGAAATTTCCTTGTGAATGATGCTGGGATGAGTTGAAAGCATTCCGGGGCTCGACTTTACCGCTCAGTCTTAACAGTAGTATGGTAGTAGCTTTTTACTTAACGCCGGCCAGTGACTTCTGGCGCTGTTCCGACTCTTGAGGAACAGAAGACGTTTTTACTAGTAATTTCGGTTTTGATATAGTCCATTGCCATGTGACATTGAAGTAATGCTGCCACCGTTTTGCAGTGTAGTGTGCATTGCTGCGCTGGCTGTCGACCAAACACCACTCAGCCTCTGTGCCGTCCGCCATCACTGCCGGAACCTTCACCTAAGCTATCAGCAGTTCAAGATATAGATTATCCGCGATACGTCAGCAACCCGCAAAATTTATTTCCAGGCTGTGACGGGGACTATGTGTGACGTAAGCATGACGTATGTCTCGCCGGCTAAGCAAGCATACCGCGCAATTAATCACGTGAATCGATTAATAACCAGCAGATAATGGTATGCGTAATTATTCCCTCGGGCGACCAGCCAGGCCATGCGTTACAGAGTGCACCTGCAACTACGTTACAAACTTAAGCGATCCACTCACGCTGCGGGACCCTCTGACTACGCCTTTGCGTCCCACGCCACGCGGTCGAGAAGGTTATGACGCCATCACGCAGCCGGCGGATGGGACCGGCTCCCCGCGCCGCCACGTGCGTCACCCTGACGCGGCTCCTCTGAGCTCGTCCGGACTCGTTCTGGCTCGTCCGGGCTCGTTCTGGCTCGTCCAGCGCGCGACGTGACGAGCTGGCGCTGAGCGTCCGGCGCCCCTATTTCGGGGCGCGTCGTCTGGGGCGCCGTCGTCTGTTAACACCAGCCAACTTCCGTGACGGGCCTTGCTCATAAACCGACGACTTGGGACGTCAGCGTAGTTACGCTGTCGTCGTAGCTTTTGAACTTCGGTGTATATTCGCCATGCAGCTTGCATCATGAGCGCTTCATTGCGACTAAAATAAACTTCATAGTTTCGTCTGTTAGGAATTTATGCCCGCAGGCAGCATGCAAAAATTAATCACCGGCGACACCTTTGGTCGCACCGGGCGTTCGGAACGCATCATACATACTAGCTTTTCGCGATATCGCAGTGCACCATCCAGGCGCCATGTATCATGCAATAACTAAGATACGAAGATGTTGAATGGGGGGGGGGGGGGGGGGGGGAGGGGGCGTTGCAGCTGGCCAAGCAGCATGGTTGACTAACAGCCGCAAAGCCTTGGGTTCGAGGCTGGCAGCAAGCTTTTATTTTTCTCAACTGTGGTAGGAGTACCATCGCTGCGAGCGATCGTAGCGGTTATATACAGCGGAAAGTAAATCAGACTAACTTATCTACTGATGCTGCTACTATGTTACTGACGGGAAAGGATGCGAAAGCATTGTGCGTGGCAATGCGTCCAGAAAATTCCAGACAATGTCGTGATATACGGCACGTGTTTTAGCGTCCAATATGATGCATTATTTATGCAAATAAAAATATACCTGCAATATTAAGTGACTTAGGACGTAATCTTCAGTATTGTGCATGGTACAGCAAAACAGTCTCCCTATAATTATCTCTCCGTACATGATCACTTGACTTTCTAAATGGCAGATGCAAAACCGAAACATCGAAGCAATGGATTTCCTTACTGCGCGCGGTGGATTCCTCACCTATCACTGGCCTCCGCGCCAGCGTTTTAGATAGCATACATTTGATGGCATTGAGATGGCTTGATGATATACATTTTCGACGTCCGGCGCGCATTTCGCCTTTTTGATTTTTCATTTTTCCACACATTGCCATCAGGGTGTTCGTCACCACGTGACGGGGGCTATCTCACGGCAATGCGAGCGAGGGTGCCGCCATGCAAGGCCGGGCGAAACACGTTAAGCGGCGTGACAAGTGATCCCGAAGCCTGTCTCTGTGTCGGTCGCATCCTTCTCGCTTTATCTCGCTATAGCACTCTTTCCTTTCTATCCCTCCTCTCTAGCCTTCTGTCGACCTTTTATCCATCCTCGTCCGTTTCTTCACGTCCTCTCACCCTTTCTCACTCTCCTGCTCTGGGTCTCCCTCACTCGCTCCCTCGCTCTCTGTCACCCTCATCCTCACTCCCCCTTTCATCTCGCTCTCACTCTCTCCCTGTGTTTCTGTGTCTTTTCCAAGACCACTTTGTCATAGCAGGCTTGGCTGGAAAGATGACAGCCCAATCTGAGTAGCATTTATTCAGCGTTGACACGGTGATCTGTCGCTACTCCCGTGACGTCAGCGTGACGTCACAGGTGACAGCTTTGACCCGTTTCTGTCGGAACGCTGTCTGTGACTTTGGCCAACTGATGGCACCGATTCGCCCGTTCCGTCTGCTGCTTCTGAGGCACCAGTTTCTTTGCTGGTGCTTTGAGCTGGTCGGCTTGGGAATCCTTTCTCTCTCTACTCCTTGATGTAAACACGAAATGCCTTCATCTCGTAGTTTTTCGGTATGTGAGTTTAGAGTCGCTAGGCTGAGTTACCGAGCGCCAGTATACCAGGAGGTACCGGTTAACTGACAATATGGAGGAAACATAGGTTAAGTCGGCAGTGCCCGACGTTTCAAACGTGGTGTGTGATTTAGTCGTGGTCATAAAGCACAGCCCGAAACGTTGAGTTCTGTCCATATAACAAATGTTTGCCCTATAACGTTGTCAAGCCAGTAACTCTTGGAATATTGAAATGCGATAAGTCAGCATAAAAGCTCTGAACTTATAACGCGTTACTTCTATGGGCCGTTTATGATTTACGTTTATGCTCACGGGCAGTTGGCAACAATGACAGGATATGTTTTTCTGAAGGAGAGCATTGCATGAACTCTTTGCGATAAGTCTTGTTCTTTAATGAATGTTAGCCTTGCAAAATGTTTCGAGAAAGCTGCCGTGTCAGTCACGAAACATCGATAAAAAAGTCTGTGACATCCATGAGGCACAACGCTATTCCGTCTTGACCAGATATTTTTTTATAGAAATCCAGATTATGTGATTCCGGTAAGAAGAGCATGATAAGAAAAACCCTCGCTGTGAGAAAGAGCATGACCACCTGCCAGGTGTCTCAAGATTTGTTGGGCACGAAGGGTGCGCATCTTGCTCTAGCGGATTTCCAATCATTGACGACTTTGTACGTAGGAGGTGTTTTGGACAGCAGAATAGGATTGGGGATGGAAAAGTAGCTAAACAAGCTGCTTTTTCTCTGCTGGATGCATTTATATTTGTGTGAGGACATTTTTATTCCGCTGCCCCTAGCACCGGCCAGTCGGGAAAGCGCCCATACAATTATGGCTCATTTAAGCTGGGGTGCCTCGGTCAAAACATCCTTGTACAGTTGCTAAACAAGTCCGGCAAGGAAGTTAAATGAAAGCCGGCGATAACAAGCTCATGACACAACAGAAAAAGACAGAACGCTGGTCAACGAGCATATTCTGCATCAAGAAATTCATGGGAAAGCTGTGGTTGCGTTATTCGCAGAAGAAAGCGAATTAGAAACATATTAGCCTTGTATGGTTTTGAACTAATCCAATTTATAAGAATAGTAAATCGATGCCTCTCACTTCCCATGAACAAAATCCGCGGTCAAATTGCCTCTGGACGCGGTTTCAGGGAGATTCCCCTCTGTAACACTGATGGCTTTGGCTTGGGTTATCATCGCCCATGTTCCGGCTTAGGCTTTGTCGCTGTTAATCACGTACTTCAGCGGGTTACAAAGCGGCCTCCGCACCTGTGACGTGCTGTGAAGAGATGCAGGTGACAGGCGACGGCTTGGTCATGGTTTACGTCATGCTCAGGACCTCGTTAACCCGTGGTGTCGCCGAGAGTCGGTTATCCAGAGAAACGAGTTCGGGTGGTCGTCGGTGGAAGCTAAAGAACGGCTGGTGTTGCATCGAGCTGTTTCTCGGCAGGCACTCGGAACACCTTTCCCGTTGACATTTTCACTGATGCTTATTTAGGGGGACTAGAACACGTTGGCTTCCTGGCCGGAGCAGTCGGCCTCCGACCCACCCGTCCCTGCCAGATGTCCACGCCGCGCGGTCGGGGCGATCCACCCGTCAACCCGCACCGCCTCGCTTCACCCCGTTGACCTCAGCATCGGAGCTGCCAGATTTGTCCGCGGTACTTTTCGGCGGTAGTGTTCGACGGTGGTGTTCGGCGATAGTGTTCGGCGGTAGTGTTCGGTGGTGGTGTTCGGCGCTAGTGTTCCACGGTAACTAAAAAAAAAAGATCACTAAAAAGATAGCAAGCCACATGCACGCGCAATATGTACGTGTCATAAAACGGCATTGCATGTTTTCGATCTTTTATTTGTACGTGTCTACCCGTCTTCTTACTTTGTTTTGTCCCGTGCATATAAATTGCATGTCATACCTTTCACGAGAGGTGAGGCACCTCCCTCAGGCCTACCATGAATGTCCGTCCCTGCCCAACAGCATGTGTGGAATTCCCATACTAAAACGGGCTTTTGATTTTTTATTGCACTATTTCAAACAGGTCTTAGCCGCACAAAGGTTTGGCCGCATTTTTCTGAACTATAACATAGTGCTTATGAGCGCCATAGAGAAGGAGGTGACCTGAAATTATAATCTGCTGCCGGTGGCTTCTGAAGAGGTCCCGGCTGTGCAAGAGTCTGCGTGTCTGCCGCCGATGACGTGGGCGGTAGTCTGCGTGTCTGCCGCTGATGGCTTCTGAAGAAGTCTTGGCTGGGTGGTAGTCTGCGTCTCTGCCGCCGATGACGTGGGTGGTAGTCTGCGTGTCTGCCGCCGATGGCTTCTGAAGAGGTGCCGGCTGTGCGATAGTCTGCGTGTCTGCCGCCGATGACGTGGGCGGTAGTCTGCGTGCCTGCCGCCGATGGCTTCTGAAGAGGTGCCGGCTGTGCAATAGTCTGCGTGTCTGCCGCCGATGACGTGGGCGGTGGTCTGCGTGTCTGCCGCCGATGGCTTCTGAAGAGGTGCCGGCTGTGCAATAGTCTGCGTGTCTGCCGCCGATGACGTGGGCGGTAGTCTGCGCGTCTGACGCCGATGACTTCTGTAAAGGTCCCGGCTGGGTGGTAGTCTACGTGTCTGCCGCCCATGGCTTCTGAAAAGGTCCCGGCTGGGTGGTAGTCTGCGTGTCTGCCTACCTGTCCCTCACATCGTCCGAAGTCGCGCCGTCTCCCCTTGTCGACGTGTCCGTCCGCGTGTTCCGGCCCACTGAGCTGACCTCTGCGCCCAGCCCTCTAAGAACACGCCGGTGACACGCGGACGCCCCGCGAATGCAAGGTCTCCGCTCCCCACGTCCGGCCGCCAGCGACGCTGGGGGGAGGGGAGGGCGACGACGGGAGGTGAACGTTCCCTGGCGCCTCCGACTTGGAGACACCTGACATGACGGCGTCCGCAAGGCCAAACATAATAAGCCGTTCTCCTCTTGTGACAGCACCAGTCTAGCCGCCGCTCTCGACGACCGCCTTTGGCCTGGCCGGCTGCCAAATCTCGCTGGCCGCTGCCAAATTCACTATTTTAAAATATTCACCGTTGCCGGAAAATGGCGGCGCGGCGGCGGCGGGGATAGGGGCGCGTTTAGCGGAGTTTTGCGGCGGGCGGGCGCCTCTAGCGACGGCGCAGGGTCGTCGGCGGCGGCGGCGTCGGAGGGAGTTGGGACCGGCGCCGTTTTTTGCCGCCGCCAGTCCGTTCCGCGGCCTCCGGCCGGGCCAGGACCTCGCCCACCTCAAAATTTTGCTCTTGCCGCACCGCCTCTTCTTTCACCCTCTCCTTCGCTGCACCCTGTCGTGACCTCCGCACTAGACGAAGCTGAAACCTGCGGAGTGATTTGGTCGTTTAAACGGCATAACTCGGCCGCGGGCGCTGGAAGTGCGCTTTTTGTGAGCAAGGAGTAAAAAAGGGACGTTTTTTGGGCTCGCTCGATAACGTCTGTCAAGTTTTTTGGTAAGGCTTGACTCGGTAGTGAGGAGCGTCTGTGTTTTGGCGTTGACTCACCGCATGACGTGTGGTTGGGCTTTTTTGCCTTTTGTCTGTTTGCGTCGTCGGGATGCAGTTTCAGTGCAACGCCTGGTGTGCATTTTCATGTTGCATTGAGCACGCATTTTTGTTGGAGTTATCGATGACGTCATTAAATGTGCACTTCTGGACGCAGCTTGTGTGTAAGATTATGTTCGCTCCGCCTATTTAATGGCATCATAGGCTTTGGTTGAATGCTTCCGTTTGCTCTAGCACCGCAGTGCTAGCGGCTGTTTTAAACCACCGCCTAATGCTTGATTTTGCCATTTGATCTTTGCTTTCGCCTTGCCGTGTTGCCTTGTACCATTCGCGCCCTGCCCGCAGGCACCGGCTCTCACTGCCTCCTGAGTCGCTAACCTTTGGCTCATTTTACAGTGGACGGGCATGATTCGGACGTAGCGCAAGAAAGCCCGCTGTACAGGGGCGGCCACATACCGTCGCGGCTTTTCAGAAGCCTCGAATACACTGGTAACTGCCCAGCTATCTACTACGGTGTAGGGGAAACCGACTGCATGGTTTGGTGGACAAGTGCACGGACGTGGTGGTGGTGGTGGGTGTTGTCAGTGCCCTGTTATCCCATGTGTTCAGCTTGGCAAGGCTTGGACGGGGCGGCAAGAATATGAGGCAGCCATGTCGCTCTGGTGAGAAACTTTCGCGGCACCATAAAAGATGAGCTATGATATGGCTTTTGGCTGAGCGGGGAAATGCAGCGTGCATGTTTGTGCGTGTTGCGTCTGGGGTTCAGGCGTGGCAGGGACAACTGGTCTGTATAAAATGAGAAGGACTCAGCCTGATTTATGATTCGCCCTCTGAAAGGCAGACTTCGTATGCTAAGAATAGCTTAAAAGGGGTAAATGAAAAGAGAAATTGGATGACGAAATGAAATTTTCAATTTTACCCGACGTCATCGTGGAACAGATGCGGTGTCGTGTTGAACAGTGTTGCCGCTTGGCCCAAGGGTGGGTTTAAGGGCGCCGCAGTGACGCATGCGGGTAGTCGTTTCTGCAAACGAATTACTGTTTTAGGTCCGCATTTATTTCCGGTCGTTTCTCGAAACTGGTTTGCATAACTCTGCCCTGAGTTGAAGTGTGGAAACTGAGTTGCAGGACCGGCCTTGACTCCATCAAGTCTTGATTCCTGATTTTTTATTCCATTCAGTGTGTACCCGGGGGTGTGTTGAGAGCGGCCGAGAAGGATGCGATTGTCCCTTTCAACTCCGACGCCAAGCAATTCCTGATTCATGTGATGGCGCAGCGTTGCCTTTGCACGCACTTGCGTCAAACTGTGAGGATGAAACATGCTGAGTCGCGGGGGGTAGTTTGGCCTCCACAGATGTGACAGAAGTCGCCGGAGAACAGAAGAAGCAGCTCTGGTGCCAGTGACATGAAAATAACTCAGCTGCGCCTTTGATGTTCGGAAAGTTTGCGTTAAATGGGATCCTATGGCATTCTTACGCTCCGCTGTAGGACAGGTGGTGGCACCTTGTCTACGTAGGTATGTAACTCAGGCTAAGGCTAAAGTTAGAGCAAAAATCCTTGGAAAAGCACAGTTACGGGAAGGTTTGCATATTTTGTCAGCTGTTTTTTTTTTTAGTCTAGGTCTTAGTTCGCAATAGCATAGGTATCCTTCTTAGTTTCACTTTACACAGTTGAGGTCTATTAAAGAAGGAAGGTCTTTTAAAGTGAAGCACTGTTAAGTCTTAAACACATGCTTGCGGCGTATGTTGGTATGCGTGTACGCTCATTTCATTCCAGATTTGTTTTCGCGATTATCTCATGAAAACGTCGTGTCACTGAAGCAGAGTTACCTGTGGTTCGTGCGCCTGCGAGGGTGGCTTACCATCGCGCTGCCTCGTGGTTCGTCCGAGGAACGCTTGTCACAGGGGCGCGTATGCCAGCTGGCCCTTTTTATCAGGCCGTGACATTGGTCGCTGACGTATGAGTGGTAAATCACTCGAGCTCGATACGGTTGATCATGGCCCGCCGAAAACGTCGGAACGCTGATTCGGAACCTCGTACCGTTTGGCCGATCTTCGGGCAGCGCCCGTGTTCATGATTATATGGCGGCAACCGTGACGCTAGTGTGATGTGGTCAGCAGCCGGGCGACACTGGTATGCTGCAGGTTCGAGCCTGGGTACCGACCAAATTTGTTGTGTGTTACATAGTATTTGGCATTTTGCGACAGCTTATGAGTATTTCCAACTTAAGTAAACGGGGAACTAGATTGCGCTGTTCAATAGTCTGCTGTTTAGTATGGACCGGCGTTGTGACATTGGCGTCCGGGCATGTCAGGGTGGGGGGGGGGGAGGGAAGGGAGAGCAACTGAAACAAACCTCGTGAGTATTTCCGGTCCGTAAATTTACTTTGATTCCGAAACGATAGTAATTCCGCTTTTTATGCAGTTTTTGGACTTTGCGTCTTCCGGCGATTATTGCAATTCAGTTTGATTTGTGGGAAACTTTCCAAGGTCCAGGATCATCAAGAAGAGTATTATTGGATACTTTTTTGGTTTGTGAGGGTTGTCCTTTAACTACGCTGCTGTTTGTTGTTGATACGCCCTGAATTGTTCTCCTGGGGGATGAAGTAGGGAGTTCCGTAAATATTCAGTGGAGCATGCTATTCGTAATGTAACGTCTCTCTGGTAAAAGCTGTAGACAAACACACACAAACCGCTTGGCGCATTTTTCCTATTTATAGACACCAAATTGACTTACTAAGGCAGTTTGTCAGCTTCGTCTATTGCCGTTGTAGCCATAAGTTGGACATTCTGAAACAATTAAATGCATTATTTTTTGTTCAAATCCAACAGCCAAACAATAATTCATCACATCAGCCCAGTATCATTCTTAGCTACACCCGCCATCATCGACCTTTCATTTGTAAAATCTGTTTAATTTCCGTCGCAGACAGTTTTTCCCCGAGTACAGCAACGCCACCTCCAGGAGCAGAATTTCCAAGCACGAACAGCGTGGTCAAACCCGGGCGCCCTCTGTCGGCAGTTGACGGTAACTTTTTGTCGACAGTTGACGGCGACACAGAGACGTATCTCCACTCAGAACCGGACCCCAGATACCGCGGAGCGCATATACCCTCAAAAACCTTCCGAATCCTACAGGCGGCGACTGGCGAAAACGTTGGCGGTAGGCCCGCATGTGATGTGCTGCCATCTGTTGCCAACCACAAAAGCTGAGCTTTGGGCTGCGGCCGATACAACTGTCGGCCTGCTTTGATGTGCGCTTGGCCGGCTGTCGTTGCCTCGGCGTTTGGCGAGAGTGACGTGTGATAACGTGATTGGCTGCGTGACAGTTGTCAGGTTTACCCGTCTCCATCTTCCGAGATGACGTACGAAGCCCAGCTGTCGGCGTTTGGCGTGACAGTATTTCTAATTGACTGCATTCTAGTTTAACTTAACAATTTGTATTTTGCCACCCCTCGAACTCAAACTGGGTTAGAGGGCTGCGAACAATTGTTTTTTCCAGTTTTCACACGTTTCTTTTCAAACTCGGAGAGTCGGATCTCCGCACCATCCCCAAACGAAAGGGATATAACACCCGTACAAGCAAACTAAGTGTTTTGTGGCTGATTACACTTCAGTCAAACTTCCTTTTCCAGTTAATCGGATACAAAAAAATAAAGGTAAAAGGCACGAAGGGCGCAAATCCCGGGATGAAGAAATAGAATACCTGACCACATGGCTTGGGCTCGCCTGGCTGCATGCTGAGCATGGAATGCAGCCTCACGTCTTGTCTCAAAGACAGGCGCCGACTTTTCAAACCACCGTTTTCTGATAATCAAACCGCGATATGTGTTTTGTTTCTGCGAAAATCATTTTTCACGAGTTCCGTCGCCTGTTTATTCAATGCCGACGTTCTTACGCGTATGACTGTCTCTATCTGATTTATAAAATGCATGCTGTGAATGGGTTGAAGTGATGCTGTTGCGCTGAGTGTGAATTGGCAATGCTTTGTTTCCCTGTGAATTATGCCTCCGGTTTTGTTTAAAAATTCCCATTGTTGTTTGGTTTTACCCCATTATTTGATCTTTCTACAACCGTGCCCAATGGTCCTTTGAATCACAAACTCACAAACTCTTTTCAAAAATGCGCGTGACATTGTCATTCGACTTACTGCCAACTAATTTGTGATAGCAGGCCTTGTTTGTTTGCTTACCAAGGGATACGAGGAATCCGCTTCCGTTTTCCTAGCACCGCAGCTCTTCGTGGACTTCAGAAATCGTGCCCGCCGTTACTTCCGTAATTTCTACGGAATAATTAGCACTGCCATTGTAATGTGCACGTTTCGCTCCCAGACATGCCCTCTGATGCTGGAATGTACGCGTGTTGCTCCCAAACATGTCCTATGACCCTCTGCTAAAGCCAATGATTATATGGCGTGTCCCTTATCTGGTCACACGAATGGGCTTCACGTGTAAAAATATGATATTTCAACCATTGAGGAAAGGATAGCGATTATCTCCAAAGCTCCCTCTCAGAACAAACTGAACAACCTGGTTGGTTGAAGTGCTGTCTTTTTTACATTGACTATGTCCAAGCTCAATAACATCTTCAATCATGACCCTAAAATTCAGTTGGTGACCTCCCACCTGTGGGAGACTACCAGCATACATAGTCGTTCGAGGTCAGTCTTCGAGGTCAGAGAGGTCCGTCTGCGAGGGCGGGAGTGTCCGATGCCTCCGTGCACTCCCCTGAGCGGTGCGTCCTCCCTGGAGGCGTGCTCGGCGCCTGACGAGCGTCCGTGCCGACAGTTTCAGGAGGCACCGCGCCGCCGTCGAGGATCGGCGGTCCCGGCCAGGGCCGCGCCGTTATCGTCAACATGAGGCCCGGCCGGCCAGGTCAGTCACGAGGTCTGGCACAGGGCCGGCCACTGAAGTCACGTGCTCCGGGGCAGGACAGATTGCGGGAGTCACGTGATCTGGGACGGTTGAATTGCGTGAGTGCGTCGGTCTGGAACGGAACAGTAGACGGGACTCCCGCTGCCTGAGGCGGAGGGTGTAGGGCCGGGTAGTGTTCTGGGACGGTGGAACCCGTGCACCTGGAACGGATTGGATCGTGGAAGCCGTGTGGCCGAGAGCGAGATCAGAAGCTGGGAAAACCCTTGGCACTACGTGGGCAGGGACGACAGGTGGACCTTGTTAGAATATAAGGCGGCTGCTATGAGCGCAGGCTTTCGAGGCAGCAGGGCGGCACGCGCCCCAGCCCTCTGTGACGGTGCTGCCACCTGTAGTGACACTCGCGCTGTGGCCGCTTCCAGGTGGAGTTGGCGGCGCCCCCACATCTTCCGGCCAGCAGGGGGCGCCGGCACCGATGAAGAAGTACCAGGGCAGTCAGAACCCGTCTCGCAGTTTTAGGGCGCTGCAACAGGTGACCGCGGATCAGCAGGGTACGTACTGGGTGGTGCTGCGGGAAGCTGAGGTTTTGAATTCGCCGGTAGATGGCCGTGCTGTGATGGCGTGATATGTATATGACCAGGTAAGTTTGTGGTGTTATCGTACTTAAATGGTATTACAGCGTGTTAGTGTCCCGCTGAAATTGCCCCAACCCAGTGCGGTCTTTTTCGTTTGTGAAGTAGTGAGTCGTCTCACTGCATGCAGACTCCACCAGAGCTTCATTGAGCTGTTTTCATTTAGGAGTGACTTCTGCGGTGAACCGTCCTGATTCCTCATCCACTGCTGCGCCTTGTATTCCCGAAACGTCCTCAGCGTGGCGCATTGCTACCATCAGCCAGGAGCTGGCTTCACAGGCACTCTAGTGGGGGAGATCCGCTGGAGCACCAGCACAAACCCCAGAGACGGGCCCTGTGCGGAGTGAGGCTCGTGAACAGGAGCCTGCCACGATGGCCCCGTCATCTTTCGTCATCTGTTATCTGGCATATGTCGGTCGTCCACACAACTCGTCCGCCCTCTTAATCCCATAGCCTTAAAATGGTAACTTCTGGCCGAAAGGGATGTGATCTCCCCTCCCCCGCCTGAATAGCTAACAAAGACTCGATTTTTTTTTAAATGTCGGCATCCAAGAACTGTACGTAGATGTCACGGCAGAAAACCTGTGGCGACAGCCGACAGGCGTTATGCTCCAAATCGTTTTTATCATATTCTATTCATCGGCTGACACTGTCAACATGAAAGCAACAAATTAGGCATAGCTGCGCTAAAAAATTATGTCTAAGATGATGGTACGAAAGTTGAAGGAGAAGATATTTTCAGCGTCGCGCTCCGACTGTTGGCTAGAGCAGTGCTCCGCAAATGCCGACGACAAGCAGTGCGCTCATATTTGTATGCATCAAATAAGCTGGGAGAAGTTGCACAGGCATGAGTGCGTCCTGAAGAAGCGACGATAAAACTGCATGCAATGTTCTTCTGTTCATGTGTTTCGTTGTTCTCCAAAGCCTCTCGGAAGAGGTTTCCACTTTGTGCTGGCAGCAAGAATTCCTTCAAAGCACCCCACGTGAGCTCTTTTGCGGTTAAAAAAGCTGCTCCGTTTTCTATCCTGTATAGCTCAGCGTGCTCTCTCGAGTATCCCTTGTGATGCATGATGCCACGCTTTCTTTCATTTCTTACGGCTTGGCAGGGGGTGGGGCTTCACTTTCACATGCTTTTTGTAGTTTTCTCCTTTGTCTGAGGCAGCTTCTCCGGTCGCCTGAGTCTGTTGCTGTGGGTCTGGGACTGCTGTGCTGATCGCATACTGACACTATGAGTTTGTTCGAGCCATGCGCCCCGGAGAATCTCCCATCCTCCGCCGACCCTAATACCACCACGGATGCCGAGCCCTGTCGCTTGGCCAATGGACGGGAGGTCATTCGGCTCGCTTAGCCAATAAACGGGAGGTTGTCCAGCTCGCTTGACCAATAAACGGGAGGTTCTTCAGCTCGCTTAGCCAATAAATGGGAGGTTCTCCGGCTCGCTTGGCTAATGAGTGGATGGTTCTCCAGTAGCTCTATCGCTCGTGACAAACGCTATCTCTTCTCTGCCGTTGATCTCGCGCGGCTGCGCTATTGATCTCACGCGACCAAATCTCACGCGGAACGGGGCCGGCCGCTGTAGGATCGCTGGGTCTCCTCCAGACGCGTCTCGCTGTACACACGCTGCTTCTCTCCCCTAGAGCTGGCTCGGTTAGGCTTGCCGGCGGACGCCTCTGCGCCGGCGCGGCCGCTGCGCGCCTCCCTCCTGCTGGACGCTGCCGCCGCCCCTGCCGCCCCTGCCGCGCCTGCCGCCGCCGGCGCTGGTGCCGGCGGGCGCCGGTACGGGCGCGCCACCTCGTCCCGCCTGTCGCGCCTGCTCGCCGAGCTCAGCGCGCCTGGAGGCCGCACGGCGAGTCTCTCGAGCGTCAGCAGCGGCTTCGAGGAGCTGAGCAGCGGCGCGAGCAGCAAGACCGCCTCCGAGGCGTCCGACTGCGACGGAGAGCTCTCGCAGGATGAGGAGGCGGCACCGCCGGCCGCCAAGCGCGGCTCCGACTCCAGCGACGACACTGTCGTCGAGCGACGGCCGACGACGGCGACGTCACGCGCCGTGGCCGACGAGTTCGGCGATGTGTTCGACAGCATTTGGTCGGCGGCAGACGAGAAGGACGCGGGCGCGAACGACGGCGAGCACCTGTTCGGCGAGAACAGGGAAAGGCTGTTCGATACGTGGCTGGCTAACCTGGAACGAAGGAACAAGCGGCTGACGGTGCTGGAGCCGATAGCGCCCGTGTCGGTGGCGGTGGACGAGCCGGAGGGAGGGAATGTGCTCGCGAGATACGCGCTGGAATGTGTGAGGAGGGAGGAGGAAAGTGTGGAGGCGGAGGCGGCTGACAGGGAGACGGCGAGGGGAGGTGGAGTTGCGGTGGAGGAGAGGGACAGTGGATGTGAGCAGAGCACGCGCGCAGGAGAGGCGCAGGGTGGAGCGGCGAGCTGTGAGACGGTTACCGTGCGACTCGCGCCGAAGATAATCGAAAAGCAGGACGTGAATGTAAGCGTCAAACTTAATGTCAGAAAGCCTCCTGATGTACGCAAATCGAATGGTGAAGTGAAGCCCATGGGTGCGAGAAAAGAAAATGATATTAAAAAGTGTGAGGGAAAAGACAGTGGCACGGGCGCTAAGGTTTCGCCCAGCCGACAAAACGGACGGGATTCTGACGAACTGCTTAAACAGCATTATTCATCGGATAAATCTGTCACTAAGCAAGTTGAGTTAGACAATGGAGAAAAGGTCGAAGTTAAAATGCGGAAAAAGAAACTGAAGAGTGATGGTAACGGATCTGGAAACAGGAAGTCCAAGAAGATCAAGCCGAAGAGTCTGTGCAACCCAGAGACTCGCGATACCATTGAGACTGGTAAGTCCGGTGATGGGAAACAAGTTATCAGTGCCGCTGAGCCTGACGACAGTGCAGGTAAAACGCTGTCAAAACAGCCGACCAAGGAAGAATCGGTTGTAATTGCTGACGGTAAAATTACGGCAAAACTGCGCAAGACTAGCAAAGAGGAACAGAACGACAACATCTCCGCCGTGAACGCCAAGCGAAACACGATCGCCGTGCCGCCCAGCACCAAGGTCAAAGTCGACTTGCCGAGCCCTACCGCCAAGCCCAAGCCGGAGCCGCCTCGGCGGGGTCACGTGACTTTCAAGTCGGCGCTGCGCTTTTTCCAGGAAAATGCCACTGTGGGCTCTGACCCCGAGGCAACTGACTTATGTCCGGACAGCGACGATTCGCCGGAGCAGCAACAGATGTCGCCACCGTCGCCGCCGTCCCGGCCGCAAAGTTGCGCGCTGCCCGCGCCGCCGCCGGCGGCGGCAGTGGCGCAGCCAGGCGGCACAGTGCGAAGGTCGCCCAGTCAGTATGGCCGGACGAGCAGCAACTCGGACGTGGGCGGGAGGCGGGGTGATCGAGCCACGCCCCGGCAGCGCGCCGCTGTGCACGCCCCGGCTCCTGGCGCCGCCGCCGAGCGCGTGGCTCCGCCCCCTCCTCCGCCGCCTCCGCCTCCTCCACCGCCGCCGCCGGTGCCTGTGGCTACATCGCCGTCACCAGTCAAGACAGTAGAATTAAGCGTCAAGCGAGAACAAGTCATTAGCGAGCTACGAAATGGCAAAGTGGCAGGCCGAAAGGCGGGCGAAAACAGCGTCGACAAAGCACCCGCGCGGCCGTCAGCAAACGTCCATTGCGCCCGGGCGAAGACAGATGGCGCGCGGGTGGCCGGGCGGGTGGCACGAATCGCCGGGAAGGATACCGTGCTGGCGGAGTTGCAGGGCCTGAACGAGGGTCGCCTGGCTCGGCCCAATCGACCCAGCGCCGCGCCGTCCAGACTCTTCCGCAAGCTGCAGACGGCATTCAGCGATGGGGCGGGCGGAGGCGGAGGCGGAGGCGGAGACGGAGACGGAGACGGAGACGGAGGCGGAGACTGAGGCGACGGAGTGTGAGAGGCGTTCACCGAACGCATCCGTCCGTACAGAGCCCGGCTCGACTCAGGGAGCGAGCTTGTCCAGACGGGAGCTTTCGTCCAAAGGCAGCCTGTCCACCGAGTCGGGCTTCTCCGAGGACGAGGAGCTGACGCCGTCGGGAAACCAGCCGACGTGCGAGGTCACCAGCCCAGTGCCGCCATCTGTGATCGTGAACCGTAATTAAAACAGACTTGCTGGCGCACATTTGCGGCCCAGCTGATACTAGCAGCATTGCTGTGATCCGCCGGAGGGCTGGATTGCAGATGGTTTGCTAACATGGGATGTTTTGTGCTGGTGCTGGGCTTGTTTGGTGCTGGTGCTGCTGGTGCGGGTATTTGTGACCTTTGTCGGACGCATTACTCGCCTTGTTGTTATGCGCTGATATTCTGTGAGAAATTCGGATTATTCCAACCGCAAGGAAGTGTGTATGATGCTGTCGCAAGCTTTTGTTTGTGATTCGCACTCATTTCCCTATCTTGCTTTGTGTTTGATCTATTGCAAGACTACTGCCCAGCCCTATACTGCCTATTTATTGTATGCGGTTGATAACGTGCTGTATTTTTGTATAAAGCTTTCCGCTGCCCCGTGTCTCAACTGCAAGCTACTTTCCGAAACTCTGAATCACTTCCTAGATGCGACCTTCAAGCCTTGCTTTGCCTCCTACTGCGATCATTGGAAACACTTACAGTGCGGCTCTGGAACACCACAAGATCCTCTGGTAAATCGTGTATTGTGTCAGGATGACCGTGTACGACACAGAAGGCGGTATGAAACTGCGTCGAAAGATCGCGACTTGAGTCTCCGCAGGCTTCTGCAGTGGGGGTCCGATATCAGGAAGTCCGGAGCCGCGAGATGCCCACGTTCAGAAGCACGTGGCGCTGACCGGACGCGACTGCGTAACATTCTTCTAGAGCAAACACAAATGCAGCTACGCTTGTTTTTGCTGTAACCGATCCCTGGCTATACCACGGCCGGCTGGAGTACGAAGCTGCTCCTTGGCTTATGGGAGTCTGGGGATCAATTAAACGGCAGATTCAACAGCTCACATTTAGTCGACTATTCCCTGGTGCGGGGCCGCACTGACCGATGGTATTTTAAAACCGATTATGTATGTATATATATATATATATATATATATATATATATATATATATATATATCGATGGGATGTGTCGGACTAGTGCAAAATATATTGGGGACCTCTGGCCCTGCATAAGAAAAAGTAAAGTACAAGAACACGTATCCCATCCTACCAAAACAGCTCCTCTGCGCTAGCGGCTTGCGGCGACTGCCTCCTTGCCGCGATTGCTTCCAGTGCCAGTGCTGAATGGATTCGGGAAAAGCCAGGGTTGCAAGGGGACCGTTCCATTTACGACTATCGTCGAAAACCTTAAAGATGAAGCGATGCTGTTGAACAGCTTTGTCAGCACACGTTTTAGAGGCATTATTTAGCATCGCAATCGAAGCCTCTGAAACCCTAATTACCAAATAGCCAACCTCTAGGAATATACTCACAGCGTCGGATTACAGTGGAATGACCACATGTCACATGGTGGAGATGAAGACTACTCTCCGCTCCGTGACATGGATCTGTTCGGGATCGTTTTTCAAGCCTCTGGAGTGGCAGGGGAACGGTTGCAGTGAGCCTCGACGAAAGATGTCCGCGTCTAATCGCACGTGACGTTCGCATAAAAACAGGCAGTTACGGTGCTACGGAAAATTAAGGATGAATCGGCCAAGCTACTCGTTGTGTTTGACCAATCAGACGCCCGCGTGGCATTGTTGGCCAATCAAACGCCCGCGTGACATCGTTGGCCGGTCACAGCGCCGGAAGGATGCACATTGATATTTGTGGCCGGGGTAGTGTTGGGCGTCCAATGGGAGCAGTCCGAGAGAGCGTGGACGTGGGAAACGTCCACGTGGGAAACAGCCACTGCTTTCGGATAGGTGGCCGCTGGCTCGGTGGAGTCACGGAGGAAGTTAGGTTTGCGAGATGGAAGACCTGGGTGGTGTCTGGCTTTCAAGGATACCGACAGTACGATTGAGTGGCAGAGACGTACTGGCTTTACCTGAGCATGGTGTGTCAGCTTGACCAAGGCGCTCCAAGACATCAAGGCAATGCAGCAAGACATGCCGGTGGTGCATGAAGACATCCAAGCGGTGCAGCAAGCCATCCAAGTGGTAGTGGTATTTCTGTTGCCGGTAGCTTGCCATGCCACGGTGACTCCATCAGTTGCAATTGCAGTTGCAATTGGCTTTTTGCAATGTTGCGATGCGAGCTTGTGAAATGGTGCGAGCGGAAACAGCGCAACTCGGCGACGTAATTGGCGAGTGCTTACCGCCTTCGGCTTATGCGTGGAAGCCCGGGTTCGACTCTCGACCGCGCCGTGGCTGCTGATTGCTAACGCTGCTGCCGCAGTCGCTGGAGCTTTAAAACAGCGTGTGTGATGAAGTGTGGCGCGTTCCAATAAAAGGGAGGAAACAGCAGAGCTGTGATTGGCAACCGGGGTACATCAGGGGTCAATTGGCGTAAGCTGGCGCTATAAGCTGGCGCTTACAGGGCAAGACGGGAGGACAGGCCTTACCCGTTAATTTTTCTTGTACGCTGCGGTACCTATGTACGATTCCTATGTGCGGTACATATTCCTATACTATACCTTTATACGATGCGGTCGTCAGTTTAGTGTTGAACCCGTTTTCCGTACAGCTGGTCACTGACGAATGAAAGAACCCGCTCGCGTTTGGTGGCAATTCCACCAGTGGAGCGTCACACATTTGGCAGGATGGATAAGGGCACTCGCGTACTTCCAGCGCTTCTAAACTGTTGGCATGCATTGGAAAATGAGCGTATGGTCTGTGCCACTTTATGCACTGGACACACAGAGCCATGTCGGAGTGTGTGTGCGTGTGCGCGTGCGTTTTGATGCGTGGGACACGCAAGAGTTACGGAGCGGGACGCAAGTGACGACAGGACAAAAGCTCACACGCGGCGCGGATAGCGTCGACCCATGCCGCACATAACAGCATTTCGTTTTCCCCTCAGATTCGTGAAAGCCGTCCCGAAGCCTAGCCTGCGTTCAGCAGCGAATCCGGTCCGAACCAGTTTCATCCGGATTGCCGCTGTTCTGCGCAGCAGATAGGCACGTCTACCACAGCGATGACAGGAACGGCACAGCGACGGCCGACATCACCGATTAATGTGCTGCTGGCTTGTGTTGAATCACGGTGATGTCCCAGGTGACGTCACGCGCCCCAGTGACGTCACGCGCGACGCGCATTGAAAGAGCTGTGAGGCGGACAGACATCACGAGATTCCCGGGTGATGCGCGCGTGACGTGCCAGCGTGTGTGAGCGTGCCTCCACAGTCGCGCGGATTTAACCCAGCTGCGAAGGACAAGGGCGGAGGCGGCTCTCCTGCCGTTTCTCCGCTGTGAAGAGCTGGGCGTAAGCTGTGCGTGACGTCACGGTGATTAGGCGTGATCAGCTGCCGTGTGCGGTGCTTGAAGAGCGGCCGGGATGCAGTCAGCAGCTTTCGTCAGCAAGATGATCCTCTGAGCAACCACTGTGCTATTGAGATGTCCTTCGCCTTTGCCGGTGCGTCTTTCGCCGTTGTGTTTGCGTGGTAGTTGTTAACAGCCAGGCACAGGATGTGCATGTGTTGCAATTGGCCAAAACGGTCAGCCAATTTATCGCTAAGTTAATGTACAGGAACCATCTTGCGCCAGTGGCCGATCACGGGTCACGTATGGTCACACTGAGGAATGTTATCAATGCTCCTACGATGAGATTTTCACTTACTGGGAAGTTCTTGTCCGGGCACGAGGATGCTCTCCTCGCAGGACCCAGGTCAGACGTCTGCTAAGTACTAACCGAAGCTCAATAAATGGATAAAACGCGATTGATGGTTTTCTCGTTCGGCGTCTTTGGGTGAAGCACATCATTATGAGTCTGCACACGCAAACGCACACACACACGCACGCACGCACGCACGCACGCACGCACGCACCCCCCCCCCCCCCCCCCCCACACGCACACATAGATCTAGATAGAGAGAGAGAGAGGGAGAGAGAGAGAGAAAACGGTAGACAGACCACCTCTTCGCCTTCAGCATCAAATGAAACCGTCGTCCACATCGCGGTTGTAGTAGCAAACCCCTCAGCTAGAAGCTATCGTAGTCCCTGTGGGAGCGAAACTCTTAGCTAGAAGCTATCATCGTCACTGTGGGAGCGAAACCCTTAGCTGCAAGCTATTGTCATCTTTGTAGGAGCGAAACCCTTAGCTGCAAGCTATCGTCGTCACTGTATGAACGAAGCCTTTATCTGGAGGCTATCGTCGTCACTGTAGGAGCAAAGCCCCTTGAACGCACGCCGACGCTTACAACCCAAAACCACAGCATTAGATATTTCCTAATCGTACAGAACTAATATCGGGTCAGAGATAGGTTTCTGATACGGTTCATATGCGGATCAGGGAGGTGTGTGTTACGGGAGAATACGAACCTGATGTGGTCAAAATAGATTTGCCTGCTCGTGCGCGAAATTAAGTCTCCTCCCACCCCCCTGGCTGACCAGCCGCCTGGTGCCTCCATAGACGTAGCACAATGCTGCCTTCCCTCTCCCTCTTCTATCCCATCCCCACAATCAACAGTTGAATTCCGTCCCCCAGACATGCACATTGCGTAGTAATCAGTCTCCATCCGCAAGCGTTTAAGCCCCGGCTGGTCGCCGGTTGAAACCGCGATTTATTCTAAATCACTCAGTGATCCATTCGGCGTGGGACAGGGTGTTGATGATGATGATGATGCTGATGGCGACGATGATGACGATGTCGATGATGATAATGACGATGACGACGATGATGATGGCAATGGTGATGACAATGATGATGGTGGTGGTGGTGGTGGTGGTGGTGGTGGTGGTGGTGGTGATGGTGGTGATGATGATGATGATGATGATGATGACGATCACGGGTGTCCGCGTGCGCCCCGTTCCTCCCTAGCATAAATATCCCCCTAGATGTGAGGAGGTCTGCGCGGTTCGTTGAGAACAGTAGTTGAACCCGGGAGTGACCAATCCTGTGGTAACTTGATGCCTGGCTGAGCGCAGTCAGCAGATACCTGTAGGTACTCCCACAACATCGACCATCTTAAAAAATGACGGGTATTCGGACGTGAATTGTTATCGGACGGCACCACTCAGTTTGCACCTTCTGGTGCACTCAAGGTCAACTATCAGAGTGACAATGTTTCTGGAGAAGACCTCTCGATTGAACATTGTCTTGGGAGCTGCAGCAGCAGACATTCGGAGCGTCCAAGTCCATGGGTAAGTGACAAGCAACGTTGATCCCGATTCCTTTGAATGGTCTTGCACCGTGTGAACCTGGCTTCTTGAAATGATGGACCAGATCCTCCGGGATCTGGTCGAGCAAGATGGCGGGTACGTGAGCACACTTCTCTGCCAGTGGAACCCTATTCGAATGGCCCAACTCTTCGCAGTAGTTTGGTAAGTCCTGTCAGGCGCCTAATTTTCAGGCACCCAGGATAAGAGATCAGCTGACCATACCCCCCCCCCCCCCCATGTCCGATTTGCGGGCACTCAGGATCAGATATCAGCTGACACTACCTCCTCCCCCTCCCCCTAATGTCCGACTTGGCCTCCCCCAACGGGGAGTTAAACCCCCTCAACCCTCTTGGGCCAAAGAACGAGCAGGGTAGTATAAAGGGAAATCAAAATTATCTTTTTTAAAGAAGGCTTCTACTAAGTGTTTCACAAGAAAAGAACAAAGAAAGTGAAAACTGCGATGTCGTGTTCAGTGGCAGGCAGCTGATTGAGCTATTCACGCTGTAAAAACTCCGCGTATTTACTGTGTTTACTTGAGCATTTATTTTGCATGGTGCATGCATGTTTTTAATTACACGATTAATATGCCTTGTTGACTCTGAAATCGTTTTGTGTCATTGTCTTGATGTTTTAGCATTACTAAATGATGTTTAACATTCACGGATTGAATGATTTTTTGTCGTTGTCCCGTGCCCTCTCACTCTTGCTTGCAACTGTTCTTGGTCGTCTCGAGATCTAAAAAAGTTCAATTTTGGTGCGTTTTGTTTTGAAAACTGCACCTGTTCGGCCAGTCATGGGCTCCTTCGGAGCCTGTGGGTACCTTCGGGGCCCAAGGGGGGCCTGACCCCGTTCCTCCCTCTGGACCCACCTTTGAGTGCAGTACCGGATTAAGTTAGGTGACTAGGGCCCCTCAACTTGGGCTCCGATCAAGCCGTTCTGACTTTGAAAGGAAAGAGCCAAATCCGAAAAGAAACCCGTTTGTTGGCGTATGTTTGGGGCAGGTTTCGTCATTTTCACCGCCTAGCCTCCCCCCCCCCCCCTCCCCCGCCGCCTTATTTTGCGAAACTACGCCACTGCCACCCAGAGATGTTTCGCCAGGGTTGAAGCTTCCTTAAAATGTTTTGGGGATTGGCTGAATAGCGAGAGAAGGCTCAACCTACCCTAAACTATTTCAGGGGCGGATCTAGCCTGGAGTTGTTTTTTTGGGAGGGGCCAACCGTTCGTCGCCAGCTCGCTGGTGTGGTATCCGAGGTCCAGTGCATGGCGCCTCTCGCGAGCACCTAGCAAGGACACCATTCAAGCAACGACATGCTTTTGAATTTTCTATATACAGTAGGCATGTTTACAAAGCTCGTAACATACGATATTACTTTCAAGAGTCAACTGGTCAGATGGGGTTTACTGCAAATGGTGATCAGGGTGACAAACGGTGAAACAGGGTGATCAGGCCGGACAAAGGATGATTCTAGTGGCTATGGAGCGTGGTGGTAGCTGCGGAGCGGCTGTGGCGGGCGGGCACACCGGTGAGCCGCGCTGCGGAACGAGATGAATGATGAGTCAGTCAGGAATCAGGATGCGATGTCAGTTTGAGAAGAACAAGGGGTTGACGTGACATTCAAATGATGTTGGTGGCGGAACACTGAGCGTAAGCGTAAGCGACCACTGCTGCTGCCGGAGATGAGACCAATCTATGAAGTGATATTATACGTAGGACTGTTTTGCAAGGGCCAACGGCGTGAGGACATGAAGTAAGGGAAAACTCGATCAGGGGAAGTACTGATAAACGCTATAACACTATAACGAGAACCTTCAAGTATTCAACGCATAAATTTCGCGCACAATTGTTGTGATGGGTAACATGTTCTGTTCGGCACCTTTTACGCAACATGTGATGTTAACTAAATATTGTGAAGTTTTGGGAATGCTTTCGGGGGAGGGGCCAAAATATACTCACAGAGCATTTTGGGGGCCATGGCCCCATGCCCCCCCCCCCAGGATCCACCTATGAAATATCCCAAAAATGGGTTAATGACCAGATTCGATCCAACTTCATCTCAAAATTGGGGTAGGGAGGCCTGACATCAAGTTGGGGAAGAGGGGGGGGGGGGGGGGGGAGGACGAGACACCTCCAGCTGAATAAAACAAACTACACCCCCGTGTTTTGCTGCACTTTTCAAGCCCAATGTGAGCATCTTGTAGCCAATACGAAACAGTTCACATTCAAGAACATTTAAAGCCGAATTTCTATTGCAGCCGATTACAGGTAACACTGCCGCATCGCATTAAGTCAGAAACGAAGTCACCGAAATTGGGTCGCATTGCTTGGAGCTACAGCTGTAGCCAACACGAGGATGCTGTAATTTGGAATGAGAATCGACTTTGCCGGATTGGATGCCGGATGAAACCGGATTAGGTACCGAACCCAAGGGTATGCCGTCTCATGATAAGAGCTTTGGCGGGAAAGTGTAGTAACCGGCACCGGGGAATTAGAAAAATGTCGCATGTGTGCATTGATATATTATATTGATGTATTTATTGATATATTGATATATTATATTGATATATTGATATATTGATACATGTGATATATTGGCTTGTGTGTAGTCATAAATGTATGTATAAATTTATATTCATTTTTGATATTTATTATATAAAAGCTCATATATGAATGTATATGTACCTATGTGTATATATATGTATACATCATCTATATGTACTTTACACGACAAAATTTCAGGCTAAAAATGTTGGCCTTTTCCGCAAAAAAGCAGCAATGGTGAACTGTTTTTGGTACCAAGCGTAGAGCGATGGGATTCAAAATTTGTAAAGATAGCGGAAGTTCATTGCATTATTAGATATTAGACGCGAAATTGCACAACCAATACGATGGTGTGATTTCAGATTTTCTGACTTTCATAGATGTGGAGTCATTTAAGATAAAAGCCTTCACAACTCAAATTCGACTTGTTCTAGAAAATTTAAACCATGCACAGAAATTCTTGCGCCTTAATGCGCACACAAAATAAACCAGCAACTTTCATTTTGTAATTCTCTCTCCATGTTTAACACCCTTTAGACGAAGCGACAATTTTTGGACATTGGTCCAGAAAAGCGATATAGATCATACGAAATGACAGACGATGAAACCCCAAGTAGAGGTTAATGAGAGGCAATAAAAGATCATACGCGTAATGCTAGTTCTGGAAGTTATCTAAATGAGATGTCGTTCAATCGTTATATCTATGTTGACGTTATATCCAATCAACTTTTAACAGACTTGTCTTATCTGCCTAGCACGGTATATGGCGCAGCTGAGACGTAAATTTAATACGAGGGTTCACCGCGTTCACCGTACTCGTTATTGATACATCACTGTGCAGATATTACCATGGCTCCGCGTTGTCATTTGATTGCTAGCTATGGCGCCGAGTGGGTGGGCGTGGTTCCTTGGGCGTAATTATATTGAAGTGGCAATATAAAATCAAACAGCTGAAAGGTCTGCCCTTTTTCAGCCCTTTCCCCCGTCAGGTAAAAAGTTAAGCATGTAATATCGCAGGTA